CAGCGGCACGTCCGCTTTGCCTTACAAACCCCCCAAGCCTCCGCTGCCAGCCAAAAGTCATCACAAAAATAGAAGAGTGGTCTAAATTAGGAAATTATGGAAATACACTGGGGCTGCCCCTCCCTGACACCCAGCGATCCACATTTTTGGGCTTTAGCTGGGTAAGGATGCCCCACTGTGGGCACCCCACCTGAGGTCTGGGCAGCAAGCTGCTCCTCACACACTTGTTTTTGGCCTGTCCTGCTGTGATTTTATTTTTAATTTCCACTCCTCTCCACTTCCCTTGTGTAGACATAACATGTTTTTGGCCGAGGGCTTTGATCTCCTACTCCTGCCCTGCTGCCCTTGCCTCTCTTCCTGCCTGCAGGCAGACATTCCCTCTGTCTCTGCGGGGGCCATGGCAGTCTCCACGCTGCCTGCGAGCATTTCATCCTTTAGCTGCTCCTTTGTTTTCATGGTATTCAAGCCCTAAATAGCAATGTTGTTAATTATTCCAGATTTTTGGTCCAGGCTCCAGGAAAGCTAAATTTGACTATGCTGGCAGGAAACGAGTTGGGCAGTCGCACATAGGCTCGTATCCTCTGCCCGGACATTGCCTCTCTCCTGTTGGTTTTCTGCCACGAAATAGCCATAAAGAGGAGCGTGAGGCAGCCCTGGGGGGGCTGTGGCTCCCGGTCTCTGTCGGTTAGTGGTTTGGGGGCCACAAGCCGTCTGCCCCAGCGATACAGGGCGGTGCTGGCTGGCGACAGACGTCGGGTGAGCTGTGGGTGGTTTATCAAGGTCTGGGAACCGGGCTGGCAGGGATGCCTGCAGGATGATAGCAGGGCACGGGGTGTGTGCCGGGGATCCTGGGCAGGAACAGGCCCGTGCCCGGAGGCGTAGCGGTAGGGCTGTTCTTGCTGGGGCTGGGTTTGTTGCAGCCCTGCGAGCCCGGCCGCCCGCGGGGGCTGTGGACAAATGTACCTGCAGGTCCAGGAGCAGCTCCTCCAGCAGCAGCTGGCAGGCTTTCTTCTGCGTCCGGTCTAGAGCAGCCCGGAGGGATGCAGGGACTTCTCTGCGGGCAGCGTCAGGGTGCAGGGAGGAGACAGAGGAGCTAGGAAAGAGAGGACAGGTAGCCCGGGAAGCATGGTGGGGACACTGGTCCACAGGGGGATGGGGAGGATGTGGCTTCCTTGTGGGCGGTGGGGTTGCTACAAGAACTACAAGGTGCTGGTGCACGTTACCTGAGAGCCAGGTTGTTGTTGAGCACGGCCAGGAGGTAGGAGACATAGTACTTGGGTATGGTGCGGTCCTTCTGGTGCTCCTTCCCGCATTGCACTAGGGCTTCCCGCAGACTGCAACACAGCGAGTCAATCGTGACGGCCAGGCAGAGCCCCGGATGTCACCTCACCACAAGCACCTGGAGCTGGGATGCTCTTGGGGGCACATGGACCTCCTACAACCCTCCCAGCTCACTTGGCTCTTCCCAGGTCCTGCCGCCAGGTTGGAGAGTAACAGGTTGTTGGGTAGGGTGGGACAGTGGGACCCATTCTGGACCCCCTCAGGAGATCCGGGCTCGGCGCTACCAGAGGCACTTGGGGCCCCCAAGGGCTGAGACGGTAGCCCCACAGGTAGATAGGCTGCTGAGCCTTCTGGGACCGGGGTGGGCGCTGGGTGCCCCATGGCAGATCTCCACCATCAGCCTATGGTGCTTGGCCATGGGACCTGGGGTCCGTGAGGATGGGCAGGGGTGCGAGGGGCTCCACTGACCGGCCCAGAAACGCCTCAAGCTCCTCCAAGGCCATGTTGTAGACCTTCTGCTGCAGAGAGTCGGTGATCAAGGAAGCTACCTGGATATTCTCCTTCAGCATCTGCAGAGGGTGGAGGTGAGTCAGTGAGAGGCTGCAGGCCACAGCCCCCTTTTTGGGGGTTCTCAGCATGGCCCATGGTGCTGGGGACCCACCTGCATGACAATGATGGGCAGGGCTGACTGGAAGAAGCCCTGATGGTCCGTCTCAGGTTCCTCTTCCCTGAACCATTCCTTGAACTCAACCTCCAAGGTCCTCTGCATCCACTCAAGCACACTAGCCTGTGGGACGAACGCCCACCACGGTCAGCCCAAGCAGTCAGGTACCGAGTCCCTTGAGACTCAACACACAGCACAGCAGCGAGTCCTGGGCCTCGTTCCACGGGCTCACGGTCCCCGGCTGCTGTCAGAGCAGGCACCAGCACAGTGGCAGTGGTCAGGTCCCCGTACCCATTGCAAGTGTGCTGTCCCTCTTGCTCACCTTGACTTTAACCACGTATTTCCTCTCTGTCTGATCCACCAGTTCAGGGGACATCAAGGGACCCAGAGCAGAAACGTCCACCTCTGGGAGAAGGTCAGGGTGACCCATCATCTCGGGGCTGGAGGGCAGAGGTGGGATAGGGCTGGAAAGACCTGTGTTTTCCAGCAGTTCCCACCTCTCCCTCTGCCTTCCCAGTGGTCATCCCCAGGCAGCTGGAGCCACTCTCCCAACCCGCCCGTGTGCTGGTGGACAACCTGGCTCTCCACAACGATGCTGGGGTTGTTGCTGACCTGTGGTACACACGAAGTGCCCACTCGAGGAGGAGGAAGAGCGCCTGTTTGTCCAGGTCCTCTCGGAGGATGTCCTGGAGGTGGCTGGTGAGGGCCTGGTGGTAGGTGGCAGTGCAGATGCTGAGGATGTTGTAGTGAGCTGGGACGCACTGGACCATCAGGTCCTTCACCACACGCAGCTCAGACACGATATCCTTCTGCAGCGCTGCCAGGTGCCTGGCCAGCCCTGGCCCCTCAGCGTCCACGTGGGCAGCGTGAAAGTGGGCTCCTGTGATGGTATCCTGGAGAACCTGGTAAAACTTCTGCCTCCAGCCCTTTGGGCGGCCAGGGGGCAGGAAGGTGGCCTCCAGGAGCAGAGTATCATCTATTTTCTCCTCCCGCTCAATGATCCTTACAGCAGTGACGAAGAGAACCGGGTCCTCGCGCACCAGCTGCAGGCTACTGCCCACGATGTCCCACAGCTGCTTGGCCAGGCTCTTGTTGAGCTCCTGCAGGCCACCGAAGTAGGACAGCACAGTTGCCCGGGCACCGGAGAGCCCGCGGAGGTGCAGCTGGGAGAGGATGTCGTCCCGGAGGTGCTCCATCATCATGAGCTCTGCATGGGCCTCCAGGAGGTGCTGCCCACGGAGCAGCTGCAGGGTATGGGAAAAAACCTCGTGGACTGTGGGAGAGGGAGGAGAGATGCTAGGATTGAGTGCGGAGGCGGTTGGCGCCAGGGTCATGGGTGGTGCAGGGAGATGGAGAGGGGAAGGGTCTGAAGTCTGGGGGCTCTGGGAACACAGTGCTGGATCAGGCCCTGGGGAGGCAGGGGCACCTCCACCCATGGAGATTTTCCAAACCCAACCGGCAAAGCCGGAGTGACCCGCTCTAGCTTTGCCGCCAGACCTGCACAGAACCTGGGCTTGGACTGAAGTTCTCCCCAGTGCCTTCCAGCCCAAATCCATGAGGACCGGGCTGATGCCTTACCCGAGAAGAGCTGGGGCAGCACCTGGACCACCGAGGCCAGCTGCACGTGCTCCGCCATCAGCGCCCGCATCTGCTGGAGGCCCTGGAAGCGGTCTGCACTGTCGAGCAGGGCCCACCGCGCAGCCCCCAGGTCCTGGCACACGCTCTGCACCTCCTGGGCCGCCGACCGCAGCTGCTCCAGCCCGGCACTTACCCCCTCCAGGTAGGACTGGACAGTTGACTGGGGAGCAGAAGAGGATGGAGGGGCAGTGGAGCAGCTCCCAAAGGCTGGAGGACTCACACACCGTTTGCTCCAGCCCAAGGTCACCCCTGCCTCTGCCCTCATGCCATCATACCATTACATCTCCCAGACCTTCTGCGATGACCCCATCCCATCGGACCCGAGCACACCCAGCTTCAAGAAACCCACTCCAGCAGCAGGAACGGCTCAGATGGGGTTGGGGGGGGGCACAGGGGGCAATGGTTGCTGTGCATGAGATGGGAGAAGGGCATCACTTTGGGGAGACCAAGGCAGCAGGGTGAGCAGGAACCAGATGTCTCCTTTCAGTTTTAAAAGATTACTTTGCTTCTGCAAAATAGTAGCAGGCCACAGTGCCCCCGTGTACACCCCAAGGCAGGAAGCACCTCAGTGGCCATACAAATCCTCCTCCTCCCAAATGGATTTCCATCTTTTCCAGCCCTGCAGCAGCACTGGCACATATCCATGCCCTGTCTGCCCATTTAACTCCTGGCTCCCGGTGCCCAGAAGTACTTTTACCCAGCATCACCAGAAGCAAGTTGTTTTCTCGGAGGCCACATCACTTAAACCAAGTTGCCTCCTGGAAATTCACCCACATTCAGGCAGGAGAAACCATCTCCAAAATAATGAGAAGGTTGGTGCGCTCAGACTGATTGGTTCCCAAGGTTAATCGTTCCTCAGGTTATGCAGAAAGGGTCACCGTGAGCAGGGAGGTGTGCATGGGGACTAGCGACAGCCCTTACTGATGTGGGTAGAGACGGAGGGAGCTGCAGACAGGGGCAGGTTGGAGCTCTTTGCCTCCTCCCAACTGTGGGGAAGGGGAGCTGGGATGGGACGGTGACGGAGGACCACTGACTCCCACACATGGGATGTGCTGAACATCCTTGGTGTTTTGTTTTGAAGGACGGTTGGAGACACGGAAGACTCATTTTAACACTTCAGACACCGTGCAGGGCACGGTGGTGGGGTTTACCAGATGTTTCCCCCAAATGATTGCATTTCTCCCACCAAGTGCCAGCCAAAGGACAAGAATCATCCACAAAGATGATTCGACGCAGAAGATGGGACCATGGCTGGGATCCCTCCTTGGGGAGGCAGTGAGGCTGCAACTGTCCACGGGGTGGGCTGTGGCAAACACCCACCTTCAGCCGGGACTGGATGGAGCTGTTCCTCTGCGTCTCTCGACTCCGGTACTGCCTGAGCCCCTCCAGTTTCTCAGGGCGGTAAAACACCCCTGAAGCCCATTTCAGAGCAGCTCCTCTGGCCAACTTCTCAGCCTTCTCTGCTTCCGGCCACTCCTCATCTGGGGATGAAGCCAGAGGTTAATGAGCACAACGAAGCCTCTCCTGGTGGGGCAGGAAGGGCCCCTGGGGCCAGAGGCAGGAAGCTGTCGGCCAGCGGACTTCCAAGCACACTCAGACAGTGGGAAACCGGACAGCACGGCAGCAAGTGGGTCCTTCCGCAAGGGCCCCCCCTCCTCGCCCGAGATGCCACCACCGTGGACCAGGGTTGTCACAGCGGCTGTGGCAGCGAGAAGGCTGCGCTGAGGAGCTGTCACCCACCCTGCCAGCTCGGGCTGTTCTCCTGAGCGCACGTCCCCATCGCTTCCCCCCAAACACAATGCTGGGTTGTCTGAGGGGGGTCCGATGCCACCTGGGAAGCCCTCAGCAGGGCTGAGGCTTCGGCAGTGAGTCAGCAGGAGGGATGGAGAGATGTCAGCTCTCACACTGAAGGAGAGTCGGGCTGAGATGAGGACA